CCACGAAGCGAAAGGAAGATCTACTACATTTTGATTAAATTCTAAATATATCAATTCATGTGAATATGACTCAAAAATTTCATTTTTTCTGAAAAGATGGTGTCTATTTACTTGTGACCACGCTGTGTATACTATCTTAACCCTCTCATCGTTTAAGCTTCTTAAATGGTGTGTATATTTGTTTGTTTTAGTTTTCAACTGTTTGAGGAATGTGATTATTCCGATTTTCAAACTAATTAAACATTATGCTTTGTTCGTCTATTATGGCCACTTATAATTAAAGATCTGATTTCCGTTTAATTATTGAACGACAGATATAGTTACTACGTAAACAAGAGAGCGGCAATTTTCAAAATAGATTGTATTTCAAGTTAGGATCAGATTCTATGAAATGGAACTATGTTTTCAGTTGCTTTAGGGATAAATTTTTCATAGTTGTTGAATATTATAGAAGACCTTATATCTGGAGTTGGCTTTTCTTCTCTGTGCATGAATATATATATGCTTTCTTTGGCACGTAATGGACTTGTACATTCGAAGCACAAAATGGAACGAAAAGTTCATATATAAACAGCATATAAAACATCGTGCTTATGTTATTGTTTTATGTTACCTCACGCGATTTGCACGGGTTTTCTCATTATCAACCTATGGTTTATTTACATCAAAATCATATTCATAAATATAGAATGTATTGTTTTATTTTATTGAAATCTTATTATATGCTATCTGTACGTTCTTTTACGGTTAAGATAAAAACAACATCACCACCAATTTGGCAATGCGCATGCGCTGTCATTCATTTTACTCTTTTTTTTTTTGCTTTAAGTGCTAATGCATAATTAGCATTTTTATCATATTATGAGTTTTCTTCAGACGGTTCACTGCAATAAAAAATATACATATATTTATATTAATTTTAGGTTACGTCTGTGTCATTACTGCAGTTACATTGTAACAAACAATAATGGCGCATATGTGCGATATCTTTTGTCTCAGAAGCTGCAAACTAACATTCAGTAAGCACTAGCGCGACGTTGTTCCTGTAGAAACAGAATAAACTAGGGAACAGATCAGTGTCGAACGATCACGTGAACAATTAAATATATACCAGCGCGTGTTAGTCACGTTGCTTTTTCCGGTAAAGAGCGACTGTAAATGAGAGAAGGAAACTCCTAGTTTAATTATGAAGGGATCTTGTTCGTACACGCAATTGTTGACTCATGGCGTTTGTTGCCATCTTTGCCAAAAGTCTGACTCCATTATAGATATATTAGTTGTGTAGTGCAACTTAGTTCGTTAGATAATCCGCTTTGTTGATCAAATGTTGATTACAATATTAATTAATTAATAGAAATAATTTGTTGTTTTACCATGTACACAAATGAGGATGATTATCGTCTTATGACACACAAAATCAGTTAGTATATGTTAATTAAGATATATTAAACTCGGAAGGATTACAGCTGGAGTAAGTTATGTATTTTTTTCTTGCAATCATTTCATTTGCTAAATACGTGTTGAATGAATTAACAAGAAGACAATATAGCTATGTAATAGTAACAGTCGCAAATCACTCAGAACTTCTACCAAGTAAGAAAGCTTTTATAGTCACTAATAAGTGATCCAAGTTACTCTATATCATAAAGAAATATTACAGCCCATAAATCAACAATAAAATCTAAGTAACATTATAAATGCAACGCCGTCATTCAGTTGGGAAGTGAAACTTCTAGTCCAACTTGTCATTTTTGTTTAAGCCACTACGTCAATAGTTAATGGAATTAGATAACCGAATTAAACATAGAACCTAGCTTAAATTAATACTATTTCAATTTGAAAAGAATTAATTATAATGGTTGTTTTTGAACATTAGTGGCAAATAACAGAAATATATCACAATTTAAACTTAACTCCGTGTGAGTAGCTCTCTTTCAAGTAAGTTGAAACATACCACTGGGTGCACAACAGGCATTACTGAATTTTTGGCTTTTTTACTTAGCAACTGAAACAATGTCGTTTTTCAAACACTACTGTAACTAACAGTGAATGCCACTTGGACATCAATTTATGTTTTAAACAATGGTTATTATATTTTGTGATATTGGTAGTAAATATAAATGTAATAAAGCATCATAATAGGAATTTTCTTACGGTAAAAATTCCGTAAGAATGAGTCTCATGAACTGCTACTTTATTACTGACAATAAGTACTTTATGGCTAATTTATGTGAATGTCTTTGGTAGAAACCGATGCACAGTCTATGATACCGAGCCGTAGTATCGTCAAATGTAGGTCTTGTAGCCCAAAACTCATTTGTAACGCATAGTGTAATATTCAATAATTTTTGAATTAATAAGTGATATCAGTTTCGTTGCTCAGAAGAGATTTGGTTATTTCCCGAATTTCCAATTACTTTAATATTACTAAGTTCATTATAATCCAAATGTATCATTTCAACATATACAATAGCATCTGAGACATCAACAACGTGTAACCATTGTCCCCCTTCCAATGTTGCGAGTGTAAATTTTACATAAAATTATCGCAATATATTTTGCAATGATGTTATCTTGAGAAACGTGCGGCATACCACCGACAGAGCATTAACTGAGATATAAAGCAAACTTGTGTATACTTACCAGTGTGAGTTCGCTGATGAGCTTTCAGATGTGAAGACTTGGTGTAGACTTTCTTACATCCGCTATATTGGCACTTGTGAATTCTTCTCTTATTATCTGGAACCAGGTCAATATGACAGTGAGACTCAGGTGAGGGATTACTTGTTAATATTCGAGGCCCTAACGTTGATGTTGGCACTGTTTTGTCTTGAAGAATCGAGGTCTTTGTGGGCACAGAGACTTCTAATGTAGCACTAACACCCAAATTTTGAGATATACGGCGCTTGATTGCGACCTCTGATGAATTTCCTATTTTAGTCAGAAGTTTCACTGAAATGCCTTCTCCACCTGACACAGATAATAAAGACTTCTTTTTCAAAGTGTGAAATTTATTTGTAAGTTCAGAAGAAGTAATATCACGTTCCGCAGTTTTCCACATGATGGAGCTACACATTGTATTATCGAAGGTGTGGTCACTGATATCCACATCGGATACACTAAGCCTATCTTCCCCTCCACTACTATTCCCACCATCAGTGTTACAATTTCTACTTTCTGCAGTGGAACTAAAAGTAATTAGATGATCACCAGGGTCTGAGATTAGATGTTCGGATATGGAGTCACACGAAGACGACTCTCTGTCGTTTGTTATTGTAAGCAAGTTTAAAGGACCTTGTAGTTCCTCGTTCTCTAGCTGTTTACACGGGTATTTTCTAGGTTCGTCCCTCAGGTATCGCTCCATTTCGAAGACGGTCTGGAAAATAGAATTAAAATATGTTCAAAATTGAGTCATTGCATTACGTGTTACATAAATCATAAATGCATCTCAATGCCTTCGCAACAAACGACATTATATCCTGATCTGATACAATTTCTACTTGCTTCAGGACATAGGTGGAACAATAAAATGTCTTCGATGTGGATGATTTACAGCCATAAACTCACTTTTATTTATCATAACACAACTACTTCATATACAGAAGATGTACGCTTACATCATAAATATAAAACTCAAGTTTATGCTTAAACCATAAACTATTCAAGAAATAACATGGTATATTTTTATTATACGAGAAGTTGGACTAAAGTGGAGGGATAGAATTATTATCATTTATTACACTATATTCTTTCGAGGAAAGGAGGAGGTATTGGGACTATATGCATAGTATGAGCAATACTAGTTGATATCTTCATGGATAAAACCACCTATCTTATGAAAGCGATGTTATATCACGTTAGTTTTGTTTTGAGTTTCGCGCAAAGCTACACGAGGGCTATCTGCGCTAGCCGTCCCCAATTTAGCAGTGTAAGACTAGAAGGAAGGTAGCTAGTCATCACCACCCACCGTCAACTCTTGGGCTACTCTTTTAACAACGAATAGTGGGATTGATCGTCACATTATAACGTCCCCACGGCTGAAAGGGCGAGCATGTTTGGTGGGACGGGGATTCGAACCCGCGACCCGCAGATTGCGAGTCGAGCGCCCTAACCATGCAGGGCCATCACGTTCGTTAGATCCTCTTTCAACTGAATAATTTAAACACGCATCATAAGTATAACATTCAATCGTTTGAACTATGATACTTTCAATGCCATTTATGTAATTTATCTATTTTAATATCACAATATATTAAAAATATTCAATTTCTGATAATATTATAATCGTATGTTTCCAAACTACTTTCCCATAAACAATAACATCATTGAAAATATTTTGTCAAACTTCTCACAGCCAAACAAACTCTCATTGGCCTTCGGCATCCCACTGTTATTTATTTTTGTTTTTAAAAATAACAGTTATTTATGACGTAAACCACTACCAGGCATGTGTTCGTGCCATAAGCTGACTTGCCAAATTAAAATAAATCTAACAATTTTTGTGTTAGGAATGACAAAAGAAAGTGTTTATATATATATGTATTTCAAATAGTTATTATGTGTGTATTGAGCATATACATAAATTTACTGATGTTTGTACGCTCTGCGAAATTAATGGTTTTAAGTAAAATGGCCTTGGTATGAGATTCTAATGTTCTACCATTCCCCATAGACGCACTTACCTGTTATTTCTATAATTGAATGTATAGCCTTATTACGTGAAACTGACATTCTCATACGTATTATTGCAATATTCTGAAATGTACTACAAAATTATGACTATCCGCTGCTGTCGGTAATTTCTTTACAAGTGATCAAATGAAAAAAAAAGAGGAAAAATGAGATAAAACGACAAAGAGACTCAGTCTGGCCATAATGTGCATTGTAATTTTTCGTGTAGAAATTTGGTATTTTGAACTGAACCGAACCTTATGCTACTCACGGACTAAAAGGTCAGATCAGAGTCTCCAAGGCTAAGGCATATCTACCCTTATTTAAATTTCCCCACTAGAAGTAGAGACAACCAGTCAGTAATATTGCCACCTACAAGGCTACTCTTAACCAAGTAGCAGGATTGACTGTCGTTTTTATAACGCGCCAACAGCTGAAAGTTGAAGCATATCACTAGCCATAACACTTAACTTCCGATTCGCAGCCTGGTACGTTAACCACTTTGCCACGAAGAAAACAAATATGCAGTACACTTTTATCAAATACTTAAAAAAATGTTTTATTTTACCCAGTGAAATCGTTTCTAAAAATATAGAACTAGATTTATATAAATGGTGCAGTGTTTGATCATATCCAGAAAACGTAATACCTCATTCGAATTCTTAATTGATATTTCTCGCGTATATTCTGAATGTGTTTGCAAGTTTCAGAACAACCAACCATACCTTGACATAGATCTATAACTTGGCATTTTTGTTTTAAAGATTAGTTAGTATGAAGAGAGAGAGAGAGAGAAAAGTTTGGCTATTTCTAGTCAAAATAACACTTAAGTCCGATTAATCCACAATGGATTAGCTGTAAGTTTACGAACTCACAACGCTAAAATCCTAGGTTCGATCCATATGGTGGACAGAGCGCAGATAGCACATTGTGTAAACTAAAAAAAATAAACAAACAATAGTCCGGTTAATATTATCAAAACAATCTGAGTAGGTTTCTTTCGTAATGGAATAAATATTTATCAAATAAAAAGTAGCCTTTTCCTTATTTTGAAACAAATACATGTGGTATATTTAGCTTTAAAGAATTAAATAAAACGTTATACGTCACATATTAAATAGCTTCTATTGGATTTTTAGCCGAGGCTATGCGCATGTGCTGGGGAACATGTGCAATTCATAAAATTTCTCCATGCGCTTCTCGAAGATGATAACGATTTATTTATAACCAAGCTCCAAATCGGAGTTCCAATTTCAGAAATAAAGTTAACAAAGCAAATGAAGCATTAAGAACTTAAGAACAAAAATCAGAACGAGGTTCCATAATAGTTAGTTTCCCGGGAACAAAGTTATGACTGCAACTCAAATTTTTCCGTTTCACATTTTTCACGTTTCACATTTTCTACCATTAAGAAAATTTCGGTAATAAATTTCACAAATAAGCGATTGATATAGTACCATATAAAAATTCTTGACTTTTTTCGCTATATTGTAAGCCTCGATGTGATTACATATATTCTCGTAAAAAAGGTGATTTGCTGACTTTTTGTTTTTTTTTTGTAGAAACACAAAGATGCACTTATATGTTGCGATTTGTAAATGAAAAAAAAAGAAGAAATATTATAAGGGATTTCGGTATGATCAATGTTGAATAGCTCTACTTGAAAGTATTATGAACTTTATAAACAGACCCCAATGGCTCAGCGTTAAGCTTGCAAACTTATAATGCTAAAACTTGGGATTCGATCCCTACAGAGGATATATTGTAGATAGTCCATTGTGCAGTTTACACTAAGAAAACAACAACATTGTAAAGCAAACTAACACAAATATAATAACAGATTAACATAAATTCTGTTAATTCGATACGAATATCTTGGTTCGACAAATTAAACGTATATCATTCGTAATTATATTAAATTATTCGGTACAATATCTTTAGCAATACTGGATTTAAAACCGGATTATTTTCTACACTTGTACGTTAAGCAAGGTTTAAAGAATATATGTATATATATTTTCATGAATAAAGGACACATGTACGTAGAGATGTGATTTATATTTCTATGCTTTACGCGTGACTTAAAAGCGTTTTCTTTTTGTGTGTGTTTTCATACAACGATTGATCTGTAGCTTATGAATCACAGGTGTTACGTAAATCACATAATCTGTGTGTATGTCTTTGTTATCAGGGAATATAGATCGATGTTCCTAAAGCAGCTATAGAAGTATATTGTATTTGTCACGTAGTTTGGTGTGAATGTGAGTAGCAGTTTGTGACTTGCAGAGTCATGTAATATTTACATTTCGGTTATTTCATTCTGATAACAGTCCGTTTAACATTATCTATGAATTTCAGTTACTGTAAGAGCTATAACATAAAAATAAATCGTAAGAGATTTAGCTGTTATGTTTTTGAACCAGGACAGTTAACGAAACACAGGTGTTTTCTATTATCTGTTACTCACGTGGTATACTACACAACTGTACCATCGCCATTTCAATTTTATTCTCGTGATATCCTACATAACTGTAAGATAACCAGTTCTCATGGTATGATATATTGTACGATCGCCAGTTCTCTTGTGCTCACATGGTATGCTACGGTATTGTAAATCTTACTGAGAATAAAAACGGTTGTAACAGTAGATAAGTTCATCATCATAAATGAACATCTTCAACGATTGAAACAATACAAGTACAAATGTTGTTTGAGAGTGATCTTATATAGAAGGATGTTCTAAAATCGTAAAGGCATTAAATATGAACCGACAGAAAATATGGTTGCTTTACAAACAAATTCACCATAATGCTAAATAAAGCAGATTGTATTAGTGATTTGTTTCTCATAGAAACAACTATGAAAGAGCATTTATACGTGTGCCAGGATATGCAGTATCGCGCTGCATGTGTGATTGACTTAGTGCTCAGTTACTTAAAACGGCATGAATCTCGGCTATATAAACAGCAAGTGCATTAACCTCCTTAAAAGTAACACACAAATACTCATATACGTATATGATTACTTGCATAGTCATTAACAGTACTGTACGAATTATGTACGTGATGTACTTAAGAGCAGAGCATTTGTTTATTTGAATTTTTGCACAAAGCTACACAATGGGCTATCTGTGCTCTGCTCACCACGGGTATCGAAACCCGGTTTCTAGCGTTGTAAGTCCGCAGACATACCGCTGTGCCACTGGGGGGGGGGGCAAAGAGAAAAGCTACTGATAAGAGGAAAATAGATATTACTAGCATAACATTCAATCGAGATAAGTATAAGCCTGGATGATCTTGAAATCAATATTTATACAGAAACCTACACACACAATATATCTTTATTTCTCTTACGTCTGAGAAATTATAATTTTGAGTATTAAAGATTGTCGTCAGTGAAACATTGATCTACATATTTACCTATTTACTTATGTATCTGTCTGTGTATTTACCTATTAGCTATCTGTTTAAATGGGTGACTGTGTTTCAGGTTAAATGGGTGACAGTATTTAGGTGACAGTATTTGTATTATCGGTTACTCGCAGTTAGATAAATATAATTGTTTCAAAATGAAAACGCTTTTTCACAAAGCTTATTCTAACAATGTAACATATAGTTTGAGGGAGTAACTTTCAGGCTACGTCATGTTAACTTATTTTATCTAAAAAGTTCAGGTTTGAAAATAATGTATTCCATTTCTGTGCTT